AGCAACTTGAATGAACTTAGAGTCTATAATATTGAGTGATCTATCACAGAAACAAAGAACTGTGTACCACATGTTCTCACTCATAAGCAAACCTTGAACAATTATCATAATACTATAAGAAAGGGATTGGCAATAGTGGGAAACTGCCAGGGGATAGGGGGACACACCTCACCAACAAGGGTACCTGCATAATGAACATTTGTCTACCTAACCCTGAATTGCATCCCACATCTTCAAAATAATAAAAAAAATTTTAAAAAGATAATGTAGGTATTGATTAATTCAAGTTTGCTAAGTATTAATGTTGAAGTTATATAACCATAAAAAGAATATACCTGCATGTAATCATATATGAGATGTATAAATATACAAGATTATCTATGAGATAACAATTTATTGCTATAATTTTGGGTCTGGGAGATCTTATTGTTCAAAACCTTAAAAATTGTCTATTCTTTTGTTAAAATATATTTGAAATATATTTAGCTGAAACATGAGGCAAAAAACTACACATAAAATGTGGAATCAATTTAATAAAATACACTAAAAAGAGATCGTCTGGCAGTAAGAGATACCAAAAAGCTCAAGTTTCTTATACTCATATGCTAGAAATCTAATGTGTTGGAACCCAATATACCTGGTTCTATATTTATTTGACTTACCTAGCAAAAAATGATTCCACAATGGAAAAGGTAAATGTTGACAATTTTAGCTAAGTACATTATATCAATAGAATTTAACTAGACCTTACAATGTACATAAAATGGTACATTTTATGCACAAACATTCAAGTAGAGGGCAAGATCTTTCAAATATCTATCAGCAGAAAATTTCAGCGTGTACTTTTGTGCCATGCAAAGAACCTTGGGGCTGGAGAGAGGGTATCTGCAGTGTCGGAGGCAGACACAAGTACTGCTTAAATAAAAGCTTCTTTTTAAAATCTCCATTGAATGACTATAAGAAAAATATCTATATGACAAATGCTATAATATGAAATAAAATAAAATAAAATAAAGGAAGGAGTAGAAAACTTTTGGAGGTGATGGATATGTTTATGGTTTTGATTGTGGTATTTTCATAGGTTTATACTCATTTCCAAATTCATAAAGCTGAACACCTAATTATGCACAGCTTTTTGTTTGTCAATCAAACCTCAACAAAGTGGTTCAAGAAAGGATACCTCTTTTGGTGTCTGTACACTACTGCTTGAGTAGTATAGTTTAGCTAGTTGAGTAGTTAAAATCTGGAGGCTCTGCTAAATTGAATTTATATTATTTTGACTAATTCTGGAAAGATATATTTAGTGAAATAAAGTAGAACTAGGACTCCCAAGGCTTCCAAACTATGCAAACCAAGAACGCTCAATGTGAGAAATATTAATAAATTGCTTTTCAAGTTAATGTTCTCTTATTCATCAACTTTAGTGTATCACCAAAAAAAAAAAAAAAGCCCCACAAAACCCACAACTTAATAAGAACCTATATTATTCTGGAGTGAGATGTAAATGAACCTTTTCTTAACTAAAGAAAAGCACATAAAGTATAAACATCTATCTAAAATTATTTGCCCTTGGCAAGACTACAGGGTAATTTCATACTTTTCTGAAAGATTGTATAAAGGTAGCTTCAATTACTAGAGAATGCACATGAGAGAACAGTATAACTTTTTGCAAAATAAGAAAAGTAGTTATGATTGTGGCTTTTGGAACCTCAAAATT